GCCCCGTTTCATCTAATCTCCCGGGTGGGAATCCCGAAAGAGATTCTCACCGATCAAGGCACAGCGTTTATGTCACGGACTCTCCGCGAACTTTACGAACTCTTGGGCATTAAATCGATTCGCACCAGCGTTTATCACCCACAAACAGACGGTCTGGTCAAACTATTTAATCGCACATGATTCGGAAGTTCGTTCACGAAGACGCCAAAAATTGGGACAAATGGCTGGAACCCCTCTTGTTTGCCGTGCGCGAGGTCCCCCAAGCCTCCACGGGGTTTTCCCCCTTCGAGCTTCTCTACGGACATCAGCCCCGCGGGGTGTTGGACGTCCTACGAGAAACTTGGGAGGATGGACCTTCGGACAGTAAAAATGAAATTCAGTATGTACTGGACCTGAGAACAAAACTCCACACTTTGGGGCAGCTCTCTATGGAGAATTTGTTGCAGGCTCAGGGCAGACAAAACCGGTTATACAACAGGGGAGCCAGATTGCGCAAATTTACACCGGGAGAGAAAGTACTTGTATTACTCCCCCCTTCCAGTTCCAAATTACTCACCAAGTGGCAAGGACCCTTTGAGGTCACACGGCGCGTTGGAGATCTCAATTATGAGGTAGTGCGCTCAGACAGGGTCGGAGCACATCAGATTTACCATCTCAATCTCCTTAAAAAATGGAGCGAGGCAGAATCAGTGATGTTGGCGATGGCGGAGAGGAAGATCTCGGGCCAGAAGTGAGCACCAAAAGTCAATCTTTTGCTCTGGCCCCGGGAGGAGATCACCTCTCGCCCTCCCAACTCACTGATGTGGCCAAGGTGCAAGTCGAGTTTGCAGAGGTGTTCTCGCCCCTGCCTGGTCATACGGACCTCATCCAGCACCACATTGAGACCGAGCCCGGCGTGGTGGTGCGCAGCCGGCCGTATCGGCTGCCTGAACACAAAAAAAAGCTTGATCAGACTGAATTAAAGGCAATGCTAGATATGGGGGTAATAGAGGAATCCAACAGTGATTGGGCGAGCCCGATAGTTTTAGTGACTAAAACAGATGGCTCGGTCCGGTTCTGTGTGGATTATCGCAAGGTGAATGTTGTGTCGAAGTTCGACGCGTATCCAATGCCGCGGGTTGACGAATTGCTTGATCGGCTGGGTGCTGCTCGATTTTACTCGACACTGGATTTAACAAAGGGATATTGGCAAATCCCCTTATCTCCAATGTCCAAAGAAAAGATGGCCTTCACCACGCCGTTTGGATTACACCAATTTGTAACGCTTCCTTTCGGGTTGTTCGGGGCCCCGGCCACCTTTCAGCGACTCATGGACCGGATCCTCCGGCCGCATGCTGTGTATGCCGCGGCCTATTTGGATGACATTATCATCTATAGCAACGACTGGCAGTGGCATATGCAGCATCTGCGGGCGGTCCTGAGGTGGACGGAGCAGTGCCAGCAGGCTTTCACCCAGGTAAAGGCTGCTCTGTGTGGCGGGCCACTCCTTCACTCCCCTGACTTCTCTCTCCCCTTTTTATTGCAGACTGACGTGTCGGACAGGGGGCTAGGGGCGGTCCTGTCCCAGGAGATAGAGGGGGAGGAACGGCCGGTGCTGTACATCAGTCGGAAGCTCTCAAAGAGGGAGACGATGTACAGCACCATTGAAAAGGAATGTCTTGCGATCAGATGGGCCGTCCTCACCCTCCGCTATTATCTCTTGGGATGGGAGTTCACCCTCTGTTCGGACCACGCGCCCCTGCAGTGGCTCCACCGCATGAAGGATACCAACGCGCGGATTACCCAATGGTATCTAGCATTGCAACCTTTCAAATTCAAGGTTGTCCACAGGCCGGGGGTACAGATGGCAGTAGCTGACTTCCTCTCCAGGAATGGGGGGGGGGGCTGCAGGCCGGAGGGCTCCCCGGCCTGAGTCGGGCTGTGGGGGTATGTGACGAGGGGGGCGTGGTTCAGCGAGGTCTGCATCGGGAGAGAGAGGCAGGAGACGAGTGGGGCGTAAGTGGGTCAAGCACAAATGATAAACACCTGTGTCTCGTTTCAGTAATTGGTGTGGAGAGACTGGATAAAAGGGGCCACCTGGAACATGGAGGGGAGAGAGACTGACTGGGAACGCGAGCCACCCGGGGAGACGGGTCATAGAAGCACGAAAGCATATGTCAAGTTGTGTTATGAGTTACTGACAGCGAGATTGGAAGCGCTGAGTGAGCGCCGTTTTCTGTTGTGTGCACCGAAGAGACTCTAAATAAAGCTAGCTTCCCAGTAAGCCGACCCTGTCTTCTTCCTTCCACCCTGTTGAACCATATCACATTGATATTGGAGAGAACATATTACCTTTAAAGCCATAGCAGAAATGTTGTGCATCAACAAAGCAGTGTTTAGAATGAATCCGTGTTTTGAACCAATCGTGTGAATCAATGATTCAAAGACCCATTCATAAAGAGAGCCATTTACTTAATTCCTGCATGAATCAGCCGTTTGAATGAATCCAATGAGGACATTTACCGCCACCTGCTGGCAGATTTAGTTTCTCATTTAGAGTATAATTTCATTAAAAAAATAATACTAATGATAACAAAAACAAGCTATAGTTCACCCAAAAAAATTACAATTCTGTCATCATTTACTCACCCTCATGTTGTTTCAAACCTTTCTTTTGCGGAACATAAAAGAAGGTATTATACTGTTGGTAACTAAGCTGTTTTGGTTACTAGTGACTTTCATTGCATGAACAAAAAATACTGAGATGTTTCTCTAATTATCTTCTTTTATGTTCCATAGTTTATGTCAGGCCGTTGTAGCCTATATTTTTTATGTGTAAGAAATTTTATGTTGAATCAAATAAAATATTTCTTTCTAAAGCTACAAATTGTAATGTCTTCTTGATACTAATAAAAATACATCAAATCACAATTATAACCAGTAGACGACAGCAGAGAACCACTTATTGGCTTATTAGTCATTCATTTCTACTTGTTCTCTATATTTTGACATGATAAAATCACTATTATAAAATATTAAATCATCAAGAAATCTGATTTTTTTCAGAATTTTACTTTTTTTGTATGAAGTAAGAAAAGTCACAAAGTACTTTGAAAAACAAACTTTTCTTCAATTTGCTACTAAATCACACACTCACTGAAGTTGGTCAGTTCCATATACTAGAAGAATAATGGCACATTTAATAAGAGTGGAATATATACATTTTCTATATAAAAATTAGAATTTGCACCTGTTACTGTTGTTAATAAAAATAAATTTTGTATGCATCTTAACTCACGCTTAGTGCTTTATTGTCAAATGCAATACTGTCAAAACAAAAGAAAAATAAACAAGAAATGAACATGTAATATTATAAGTAACTGCCCTTATTAATTCAAAACAATAGTAATTTTATGATTAAATGAGCTATATTTTAATACTCCCGCACACCACTCCCAGCGCTACCAAATCTGCTCCTGATGCCACCATCCGTAGAACTTAATGGTGCTGGTGCCACTGCTCTCAAATGTTAGTCTGGAGCCCTGATGGGGGGTATTAAAAATAATTAAAAAACGATAATTAAATCATAAAATTATTATAGTTTTGCATTAATAAGTGTAGTTACCAGTAATATTACAAATTTATTTCTTGCTAATGCACATTTGACAGTAAAGCACTGAGCTTGAGTTGGGAAGCACAACATTTACTTTTATTAACAACAGTAACGTGCAAAATGTAAGTTTTATATAGAAAATGACCATATTCTACTCTTATTAAATGCTCCATTATTCTTCTGTAGTATCATATAGTATACAGAACTGACCAACAACTTCAGTGATTATAAAAGGTTCCTTTATTCATTCTGCAGCAAATTCAAGTGCTTCTCACTGGATCTCACACACTGTGCAGTAACAGTGTCGCGAAATCAACACTGCTTCCTGAGTAAACCTGTTCTGAGTTAGTTAAACCAAACATTTTCATCACTCACCTTCATGTTGTTCCAAACCTGTAAGACTTTTGTTCATCTTTGAAACATAAATGTAGATCTTTTTAATGAAATCTGAGAAATTTCTGCCCCTCCATTTCACAGTTTATGCAACCACTACTTTCAAGCCTCAGAAAGGTAGTAAAGTTGCTGTTTTTTGCGTACGCAAGGCATCTGTTAAAAATATCTTCATTTGTGTTCTGCACAAAAGGGTCTTATGGGTTTGGAGCGACATGAGGGTAAGTAATCAATGACCGAATTTACATTTTTGGGTGAAATATGTTCTAATGTGGTTATAATTAGTCCGTGTTCTGTTTTATAAACATTTTCAATATTTTAAAGATATAAATGATGAAAAATGATGTTTATACAGAAAAGATGGATTCATTTGATGAAAAGTTACAGTAAAGAATTCTAAGAATACTGAAAAATATCATGGTTTCCACAAAAATATTGGGCAGCACAACTGAAATGTTTCTTGAGCAGCATATTATACTGATTTCTGAAGATCATGTGACACTGAAGACTGGAGTAATGCTGCTGAAAATACAGTTCACATGAATAAATTACATTTTGCAATGCATTCACATAAAAAATAATTCTTTTTGTAGTTATATTTCACAAGATTACAGTTTTTATGGCTTTTTTTACGTGAAAGATGTATTTAATGCGTCAATAAATGTTTTGGTACTCTTGTGAATCGTCTTATTTTGACAGTAACTAGGCCTGAACATACGTCTTTTCACCTTTCAGCCAAATTGTATCGTTGTTCAGACGTCTGGCATTCACGGCTCTTCAACGAGGAGGGACTTCTTCAGTGCTGTCACATGAACAGATATAATAAAACATTTACAGAAACGTGAGGGGTGTACTCTAGAGAACGCTAGTGTTAGAGGGTCATGTGGTTTTTCTTCAAAACGATCAATAAAAAGAAAGCAAGTAGATAGAATAGGAATAGAACAGCGAGTGCTCGGATTGAGAGGCTGAGCTTTCCACCAGTTACTGTAAAGTCAGTGAAAGCGATTTTGTGGCTCTTTGGGATGGCACAATAATGCGCCTTTCCCATGAACAAACACACTCCTCTACATCTTGCGTGAACTTGCAGCACATGTGCATCTGTGTGCACAGAGGTGACTGGGAGCGATGTGTTCCGCGCGCGGCTGCTCTGGTCTGCCCTGCTGCGGTTAACAGAAGCACTGACGTGTTCACAGAGCAGCAGCAGCGCGAGAGTGACACAGCGGCACAACCGGGTAAGAGAAACACCATTCCTCTCGTCTTACTCCAGTTCTGAAGCTCTCACAGCCACCTCGACTCCTCGAGCATGCCAGCTGCCCGTCTACTTCTGTCGTCCTCCGGTGGCATAGCGACTGTAACGGGACATGTTTGTAAGCTGCAGTTAGTGTACCCCTCACACGCCTCCGTTCGGGTTTCCCCGGAAGTGAGTTGTCCACTTTTCCGCGCGTCTGCTGGTCTTTGTAGTTTGTTCTCGATGTCTCCCAGGCTTGGTTTCGGTTGCACATTCACGTTTAAAAACTACAACCCGTGTGTTTCCGTTTGAGGCAAATTGTTTCGTGGGGTAGGATGGGAAGTGTAGTTTACATGTAGTCGCCCGTATTCTGTATCAACTGAGAATAGCTGATTTATAAACTACAGTAACCAGCATGCTTTGCGCCTAAAGGACTCACTCAGCTGCGGCTAACCACCTATGCTAAATAGCAAATTAGCTTACGAGGTCTGACTATTAGCCTTCTAGTTACGTTATTAGTGAGTTAATGAAATAAACGTTGAGGTAAGTGTCCAACTAACGAGAACAGACTGAGAATAGCGCTGTACCGGAACTAAAGCTACTGTTGCATGCACTGTCCAGTTCGGTGTAAATGTCAGGAAATAGACGCGCATCTCAACCGCTAATCGCAGGTTCTGCCCTAAAATCAGCACTATAGTTTTTTGACATGTACATAATGTATGTTGGTATTCACCAAATCGATGCGTTAGGTTACGTAGAAGTGAGTGAAAGCTTTGAGGCTTTTGCAGAGACACCAAACCGGTTCTTCTTTCACTTTAAGTGCCGTTTTGCTGAAGGTAGTCTTCATTTAGGATGATTATTAATGTGACGGATCCGCAAGAGGGTTCAGATCATTTAGTCAACACACGTGTTTGGATTTTAAACTCGAAATGTCATGTAACAGCCTCCATAACCCGCCTGTGAAGTGCCAGGACAGAGCAACCCAGCTGACCCAAAGAAAACTAATCCTGAAGGATTGTGCTCTGGACTTCTCTTCAGACGATCCTACAGACATTCAACTTCAGTTTCAAGAGCACGCAGAATGTCGCTGCAATTTAATTTCGAAGCATTTCCTAAAATAATTGTTTTCAGAAATGATTTGATTTTGTTTAACCATCCAAAAGAGACCTAGTAAACCATACACAGCACTCCCAACAGGGCAGTGAAGAGGGACACCAAAAGAACACAATATCCTGAACAACTTTTCCAGTTAGCTCTTTTTATTATATTCACAATTGTGGGGTTTTGTATGACCCCCGTAGGGGTGCATGGGAAGCGTACGCAGGATTCTGAAGGATTTACATTTTCCTTTAGGATTCAAGGGTTGCTTTAAAACACTGCCTTAATTACACTTGTTCATTAGGAACGTTGAGGAAGTACAGATGACACGTTAAATCAGAGCTTTGTTTTCACATCACATTTTTTAGGTTTAAAAATGCTTTAAATCGAGGCTCCGCCACGGTTTGAGCATAAAACACCTTTTAGAAACCTAAGAACAGTTATATTATACAGAAAAACATGCGTACGTAGACGACAGCGGGATGCGATTGTGTAATTCTGCTCCTGGATGGCAGAATGATTTGCATGGCGTTTTGAATGGAGATTTGTGCAGATAGTGAGCTCAGTGATCAGATTTATATTGTGTTATATGGGGGTAGATGGGGTAGCAGTGTTTTGCATTGTGATTTAACTGTAAATATAAAAACCGCATGTAAAAGACATTTCCATTTTGGCTGTACACTCAGTGCGTTCCTCTGAATTCACAGACAGAATGCCAGAAGGAGACAGTGCCGGTGAATCCATCCATGGGAGACCATCAGCGATCGGAAACTTCTTTAAGCGGCTCGGGCAGGTCAGGCTCTTCGAGTGATTTTAAGATTGCAAGTCAGTGCTTTGGATAATCAGACCTACATTTTCTCTTTGAAATGCAGGTTTATCAGTCATGGTTGGACAAGTCAACACCGTTCTCAGCAGTCCGATGGGCAGTCACTGTTATTCTAACGGCCATATATATGCTCAGAGTATATATACTACAGGTAAAAACCACCATGCTTTACAAATAACGTTGCTTCTGTTGAGGAACATTCACAAAATGCATCTGCTTTGACATTATGGGTACACTTCTATCATGCTGTTGTTGTTCTTGTTTTGTAACTTGTGGATTTTTTACTACAAAGTGTGAGTCAAATGTAATGAAACACTTCTGTCTTTTATTAGGGGTGGTACATAGTCACATATGCTCTTGGGATCTACCACCTAAACCTCTTCATTGCTTTCCTCTCACCAAAAGTGGATCCCTCGTTGCTTGATGATCCAGGTAGGACCGGGATTTAAACAAATCTTACCGTCCTCACTGATATTTGCATTGTGGAGGGGATTTAGGGGATTCCCCCCCCCCCCTTCCACTAATCAGTGTCTCTTCATCAGATGAGGGTCCAGAACTACCCACAAAACAGAATGAAGAGTTCCGGCCGTTCATCAGGAGGTTGCCCGAATTCAAATTCTGGTAAGTTGTCACATTATGGAGTTTAAATGAATAGTTCTGTCATAATTTACTCACCCCCGTGTTGTTCCAAACCTGTATGAGTTAGTTTCGTTCTGCTGCTGAGCACAAACAGCTGCTGGTAGCCATTGACGTCCTTAGTATTTTTCTTCAGTGGCTACTAGCAACAGTTTCGTTACCAACGTTATTCAAAACATCTTGGTGTTTTACAGAAGAAAGAAATTCGTACAGGTGGGGAAAAACACGAGGGTAAGTAAGTGATGACGAAATGTTTGTACATGATGAGTCGAGAATAATGAGTGGATCAGTTTGATCCAGTGACAAGCAGAAATGATAAATGCTGTGATTTTTACTCCTGGACGGAACCACAGCATACAGTCATAAAAGTGAATAATAAAAATTAGAATTTGGCAAAATTTGGATGAATACATTAAAAGTAGGGCTGATGTCTTTGTGTTGAATGAGTTTTACAATAAACTGTGACTGAAATCTATTACTATTGTACACTTCAAAGTAACAATAACAATAATAAAAATACATTTCATTAAAACATTTTTTTTTAAAGGAATATCACACTATCACAATTTTTCATTTATTTAAGCCGCTTTTTTTTTTTTTGCCAAAGACTAAAAAGAATTGTTCAAATTTAATTTGAATATATTTTAAAAGATGAATTGTTGTATAATAATTTTGTATTCATAAATCGCATCATAATTCATCATGAAACACATAATTTATGAAAAATAAGACGGGGCACTATTATTGTTAAAATTGTAATTATGAAATTCAAGTTATGAAATTGTTAAAGTTGTTTTAATTCAATTGATTAGACATCTTTCTTAGTATAAAAATTGAACTCAGCCATTAAAACTGAATCCAGAAAAAAATTCAATGGAAAACACATTATGTAGGAAGAAATAAAATGTATTTCATTGGGCCATAGTGGTTGACCGATATAAGTTATTTAAAGAGCAGGGTGGCGATATACAGCTGATCTGTGATCTAACATTTTATTAAAAGATATTAACACATGTACAGTATTGCCACAGTAAATTTAATATTTATTTGACACAATTGTTACTTTCAAAAAAGTTATTTGTCCTGAAAACGTTTCATTTTCATTTGGCATTTGCGTTGTTTTGCATCGGTAACAAGCCTCCATGCTTTCATGATTGTGATTGCAAAACTTTCAAGTAGATATTCTCTTAATTTGTGTGAGTGCAATAATTGATAATGAAAAAAAAAAAAACTAACCGTGATTAAGCGTTTACCCATTATAATGCTGCCCTAGCCTCAGTTCAGTCAAAATAAAAGGAGGACTTCTCAGCAAATTCAATGGTAATGCCAAATATCGATCATCCTTTGTAAATGGCTTTCTGTCATGACAACTCTGGGAGGGATTGGCATGGTAATGTACATGACAATGTTAATGTATTTGGTCTTGTGGCAGAGCAAGAGCTACTGCCAGTACATCCACAACATGCTGCTGTGAGCATGTAAGGAATACTGCTGCTGCACATATAACATCCATGGAATAACCCCCATATAGTATACATGAATCACCTCGTAGCAGATCTATACAGGTGGAGCTGGGTAAGGTGGAGGGTTTCTGAGCCAATCAGCTCTGCCATGTGATAATGATGACATTAGGTCAGATTGAGTTAGACCTATCGGACTGCGCCATCTAGAGTTTCATGCCAGAACTCTGGATTTATTAGATTGTGTTTTCAAAGACTCCTGGATTTCTTTAGTTATTTTCTCTGTTTCTTTGATGTTCACATTACATAAATGTATTGTATATTCCTTCCGAGTGTGTTGATTTCTGTGCGCCTTGTTTTTGGTTGATGTTTCAGGCATTCAGCGACGAAAGGCATCATCATCGCTATGATTTGCACATTCTTCGAAGCCTTCAACGTGCCAGTGTTCTGGCCCATCCTCGTAATGTATTTCATCATGCTGTTCTGCATCACCATGAAACGGCAGATCAAGGTTCGGCAGTGGAAGCTTTTCTTTCCCAGCTATTTTATTTCACAAAGCTGAGTTATCTAAAAATAGAGTTTCATTTGCACTGAAACTGAAGTTCTTTGACACTGTTTGTGTTTCCTCTGCAGCACATGATCAAGTATAGATACCTGCCCTTCACACACGGGAAGAGGACTTACAGAGGCAAGGAAGACACAGCGAAAACCTTTGCTAGTTAAAATTCCCCTTCCTGAAATTAAAGTTATTGATGAAGAATGGTGCGTAAAGGGGGTTGAGGTTTTTTTTCTTTATTTTTTTCCCCTCTCTTTTGCTTTCTTTCTTTTTCTGAGTAAGGAAAAGCCAAGCCTGTTGAAACTTGAGCGACATGGATACTGTAATGCTGCCTTTAAGCGTTTGGGCCTTTGAGAAATGCTGTTGAGAGCTTCTACACTGGCAAATTTTAATATATTTGGACAGCTAAGAGATTTGACTCATTATTTTCTCAGTGGTCCCCCCCCATTCTTCTTCAAACCTAGAGGATTTGATAGACTGTCTTCTCCAGTAGAGATTTTAAAATGGTAGTTCACTTGGAAATGCTCATTTTTCAATCATTTACCCACCTTCGTGTCATTTTCAATCAATATGGCTTTTTTCAGTGGAAAACAAAAGATGATGATATTTAGCAGAATGCACGTGCTGCTCTTTTCCATAGCTTTAATGTTATGGAAAATAGCAGCATGAATATAATCTTATTTTGCGTTTCACTAGTGGAAAAATCTTATTGGTTTGGAATTAAATGAGGGTGAGAAGTGGACTGCTACATGATTATTTATGAACATGGGAATATAATCTAAAATAGTGGGAAGAGTGTATAATTAATATTGATGGGGAAAAAAGCCACATTTCATCATTTTATGACCCCCGTGATGAGCGAGAGCGTTTAATATTCATACCGTGGTACGTTTGGTGTCCTCCATAGTTAATCTCATTAGATTCAGTATTCAGATGAACGTTTCCGTGAGAGGGGAGACGTTATCGATCATAGGTTCCATCTTGCCACATGTTAATATTTGCCTTTTATGAACATTTGTAATTCTCTTAATGTGCTGTAGCATTGTATTTCATTTTTGTACATAATTGCCCACCTTAATCACATCCATTCTTGCTGTTTGTAAGTTATTCTTCAGTAGTTTAAAACCCCTTCACCTTGTACATCAGGTTTTTTAAAGCAAGCGTGCATTCCATTAAAATAGTATGATTCAAAAATATTGGCTGTATGTGTTTATCGTTTAAGCATTCCCAGTAAAAACTTTCTCTCTTTTTTTCTTTTACAGAGGAAACATAAAGTTGAGTGCTTTAACTATTACAAATGGATGGAGAGGGTTGAAGTTTTTTTGTTTTTGTGCTGGGCCATAACTACTAGTATAGAATTTTTTTTTTGTTTTTTTTAAAAAGGCAAATGGAAAGAACTTCAATAATCATTGGAGATGAGATACATTTTCCTATTAAAGTGCTTTTTTTTTTTTTTTTTTTTTTTTGGAGGGGGAGATATATTAAAATGTATATATATATTTTTAAATGGTTAGCATGTTTGAGATTTTGTTTTTGTTTTGGACAATGGCATTTTTACTGTATTAAATCAATCTTCATTCAAACAAAATAATAGATTTGTTAATTCCTGATTAAAGACATTGCATGTTTTAGGTTTTCTTGTGCTGCTGGTTAAGAGGACACATGATGATTTTAATAACCAAGTGTACATTTTTCACTCCAGATGCTATTAAAAGGCTGTGTCCCTTCACTGCTCATTACTTTTTTTATTGTTTAATTGTAATTACATTTAATTAATGAATGAATTGAGTTGTATCGGTAATTAACGATGTCCTTGTTAAACAGTAAATAATGCATAATTACATGTAGCCAGCCCTAAACCAAACCCTAACCCTATAATAAATACATAATACATATATATATATATACTGTAATGAGACCTTCAGAAATACAATGTGACCATGATTCTACAGAAAACTATGTCTGGGTTAGTCAGAAATGAAGATAAGGTCACATGTAATGGTGCATACACATATTCATTTGTAATGCACAGAGAAGAACTATAAGCTTTTGTAGTGCTGAGATAAACACCATCTTACAACACTTTACATTACTCATACACTACAGAAGCTCAGAAAAGACACTTCCACTTAAAAAGACAAGAATGTCAGTGCATTAGATAGCAAAACATCAGGGTGTTTGTGTTTAATTCAATTGGTACATTCTTGTTTCTTTGTAATTGTTTGTGAAATCAATTTCTGAGAGAAAACTCTCTCCACACCAATTTCTTAGCGCACTTCCAGACTCAGTTGTGTGGTATTGTAGAGAAGGACATTTTCCTGTAGGGTGCGGCAGTGCCACGGCCGTCGTGTCGTTCTGGCTAAATGCATCGAAATAATACTTTCATTCCAGTATACGAGTTTCTCATACGTTTAACGTCAACTATGCCATTATATTTCAAGTGTGATGTGTTAAAATTGTATTTGGTGTAATAACACTAATTTAGCGGCTGTTATCGGAAGCGTCCCCGCTGACGTCACCGCGTCCCGTGGCACTTCAGCTACCGGAGCGTCTCGACCGAGTCCGTGCTAACGCGCGCTTCAGCGTTACTCCGCTTCTCAGCCGGCGCACGGCTGCTCTCCTAACTTAACCCCGTCGGCCGGCAATGAGCGAACGCTATCACTCACTTTTCTCCGGGAGAACCCCGGCTGTTTCCCTGCACATCCGCTGCACTTCCGGGTTCCGAGCAAGCGTCTTTCCCCGAGGGTCAGCTGTGATGACTGAGCGAGCGAGCGACTGCTGAAGGCTGTGCTCCCGGTACTCGCAGTGCACGGTTAAAGACAGCGTGGCAGGAGGCCTCCCGGATAAAGCTGCTTCCCTGCTGCCTCTCATCTCTTCTGAAAAGCTGCTGTTTGGCGCATGAAGATGTGCCAATGGTGACTCGTCCTGCCGCTCAGCTGTAGCACGAGTTGTTTGGGGTCTGCAACACTTGGTGGATATTGTGATGAAGGTGCGCTGAGCTCGGAGTCTCCATCCGGACTGTATGATATTGAGAGATAGTCGCGCGTTCTGTGTTTTGCGCATCCCACCGGCTGGAGAGCGACGCGCGCGCGAGAGCCTGGCGGCTTTTCGTGGTTTAATGAGTGTTAAAGTGCTGCCGGTTGCACAATGAAGAAGTTCTTCGATGCCCGTCGGGAGATGGTGAGCTCTGGACCCGCGTCTGGAGCCGCTGCGGGGGGCGGCGCGGGGTCCGGCGCGTTTATCGGACGCGTTTTCTCCATCGGACGATATCAGGTGACCGCGGAGGAGACTGTGGCGGAGGGTAAGCGACTTTATGCGCTCAAACAGCTAATGAAATGTTTGTGCCGGGGATGCTTTTATGGTCTATGACTGAGAAAATAAATAAATAATGATGCCTTGTTGACTCTGAGCCTCTGGCGGCGCTCTGACTGCATGGAGTGGGCTGTGCTGCCTCAGCAGAGGAGGGTTACTTTACATTTTTAAAGGGGTCATATGATGCGATTTAAAGTTGTCCTTTCTCTTTGGAGTGTTACAAGCTCTTGGTGCATAAAGAAGATCTGTAAAGTTGCAAACACTAAAGTCTAAAATCCAAAGAGATATTCTTTATAAAAGTTAAGAGTCAGCCACGCCTACCTAAAACAACTAATTCTAACACGCCCCCACATATCTACATCACTATGTGGGAAGATTTGCATAACGCCGCCCAAATGTTCACGCAAAGAAAGAAGGTGTAACTTATTCTCGCTGTAGTATTGTTGCTGCTGCCGCCGCCATGTCGTGAAGCTGCTGTGCTTCGTTGTGAAAGCGAAACTACTTTGTTTGGTCTTCTAAAAGAGGACGATATCTGCTTCGTCATGCCTAGAGCTGATCCATGCTGGTCGCTGAGGGAATACATCAACTTTCTGGACGAAGCGGAGTCCAGCCCGCCTCAGCTCACTCTATCCCGGCCTCAGCACACGCTGAGCCGGGGCTTCCCCTCACGCTAGGCCGCTGTGTTTTTCGTTGCCACTGATGATTCAAACGCGAGTTTTGGGCAGTGTAGAGTAGGGCTTGTTGTTTGTAATTTCTGATCACAAATGCAGACAGAGTTTTATGTTTACGCGGCGCGATGCAACGCGTAAAAAGACAGTATAAGTCATTATAATCCATAATTATGTCCCCACTGGATGCAGCGAATGCCTCGTTTATAATAGGTTTTAATGTTTTTGTCTCGCCGCTCCGGCCGGACAGGGTATCACAGTATGTCAGGGGTGTAAAATTTCCATCACACGCTTGAGGTATTCGGTCAATCACAACTGCAACGAATGCCTCGTTTGTAATGGGTTTTAATGTTTTTGTCTCGCCACTCCGGCCGGACAGGGTATCACAGTATGTCAGGGGTGTAAAATTTCCGTCACACGCTTGAGGTATTCGGTCAATCACAACGCACTGGATAGCTGGCCAATCACAGCACACCTCGCTTTTCAGAACGATGAGCTTTGTAAAAATCGTTGCGTTTCAGAAAGGCGGGGCATAGAGGAGAAACAATAATCTGAAGGAAATAATGCATTATTTATCGGCTTTAAGATATCGGCCAAATTTTCTTATCAGGCCAATACCGATAACAGAAAAAATGAGCATTTATCGGCCGATACCGATATGGTGGCCGATATATCGTGCATCCCTAATTGATTCTTTTGTTTTATAAGCCATATTTATGTCTTTTGATCATTAAAGCAAGAGATCACAAAATATACAAGTTCCGTAATAACGTTCATCATTTACTCACTTTAATGTTGTTCCAAACCCAATTTCTGCCATAGAACTTAAAAAAATATTAGGCCCAGACTCCCTTTTCACTTATTATTATTATTATTATTATTAGTGCTGTCAAATGATTAATCACATTCAAAATAAAAGTTTTTGTTTACATAGTATGTGCTGTGTATATTTATTATGTATATATAAATACACACATGCATGTATATATTTAAGAAAAATAAGTTATGTTTATATTTTAAATATATTTATATAAAATATACATTATATGAATATAAATATATAGATGTAAATACATATTACGTACACGTATATACATAATACATATTTTCGAAGTATATACTGTATGTGTGTGTATTTATATACATACATATACACAGTACACACACCTATATTATGTAAACAAAAACTTTTATTTTGAATGCGATTTTAATCGCGATTAATCGTTTGACAGCACTCTCGACTGACGTTATGAAGTGAGTTTGGAGTAAAAATATGTTATTAAATGTGGTATTTTCACATGCGTTCAGATGGAGCAGCATTTACCTCACAGAGCCGTAGTTCACTGAGAAGCTACGCAAACAGCTGTCATTATCGTGAACGATTTCTACGATTTCAGAATCGCGCAATAAAATCTTCTTTGATTGTGTTTTTGCGTAACTTGTCAGTGAACTACGGCTCTGTGTAGTAAATGCTGCTCCATCTGAAAGCACGTGATGAAGATTTCCTGCTGATTACAGAACCGGCTTTACTGACAAAATGCGCTTGACAATCGCATTCGATTAATCGTTTTATTAATATTAATATTCAGCCATAATTTTTATGCTTTTGTAGTAAATGAGCATTGTAAGCATTCTGCATGATACTTAATTCCATATTCTACAGAATAAAGTAGAATGACATAAATGTGAGCATATGCCAACAGTAATTCCTTTAAAAATGTGTCTTTCCCAGAGTTTCTGTAACTTGCGTGCAGCCCATTGTGGTTCTGGAGCTGAGCATGTGGAAAGGTCTGAATGCACAGGATGCATTACATGAGTCATCAGCTTTAGGTCTCTTAAGCAGATTTGGAGTCATTCCCCTCACTGATGCACTGAGATGTCAGCAGAGAAGTCCTAATAGAGTCTTAATCAGGGTATCGGGAACTCAAAACTAGTTATGGCGTGAGAGGAATTTTAAGCTACATCTTAGCGTTACGGCTCACAATGCAAAGACAGAGAATGTTATCAGAGCTGAGAGAGTAAAGCGGCTGGCATATGTGCATGTCATGACCTCCGTGCAGAGAGTTCTGAATGCATTGTTATTATTGCCTGTAAGCACATTTGGAGTCACTGCGTCTCGCAGGAGACCCGAAGCATCCTGCCTTTTTTTAATGTTATAGGGAAAGTCTACAACTGAGTATGATTTTTGTATTTTATATGTATGTATGACATGATATTTTTATGTTTTGCATAGAATATGTTTCTGTTGCAAACATAGCTGTTGACTGTGGAGAGCAATGCATTGTGATTTCCTCAGATACTTGCACTTTATGACCATGTTGACTTGATCTACATCTCATGAAATTTGAACTGGTATTTTGTACAGCTCGACAAAACTGGGCTTTCAAAATCTGCT